GGGCAGCCACTGACGTGTCTCGCTGAGGCCGTGTGCTGCGCTCCTGACTTGAAATGAACTAAAAACTGAGGAACATTTGGAGGTAAGGGGGGGGAGGGGGAGCTGTGGGGAAAACTGATGTGATGGTTCAGTAGAAACCTGCTTTAATGTCGTCGTGATGATCCTGATGATCCTTGAACAGCCCAGAGGAGCGAGTCCTTTCACGTGGAGCTCCGCGGGATTCGAGAAAACTTGATCATAAGTACTGTGTGTGTGTTTGTGTGTGTGTATGTGTGAGTGTACAATATGCGTGACTAGTCTGGGTGGGTCTTCATTCCTCAGGGACTATAGTAGTCTTTTCTGTAGTGTGATCTGATCCCGTGCGGATCTGATTGGATATCACCCAGTGCAACTGTGATGTGATTGGATGCCCATGCCCTGTGAGGTCTCTGCTGGTTGATCAAGAACCATAGCAGGAAAAAAGCCCATGAGAGGCTCCTGGTTACGGTAAAATTAACTCTTTGAATACAAGAATTTACTGTTTTGAATCATGACAACTCCACCTCCTCCCTGTCCCTCCTCCCTTTTGTAAATAGCCTTATAATTCTATTCATCTGTTTTAACTTTCATGTTTTTGCTTAATTAAGGAAACTTAAAGGAACACTTTGACCCCCAAATCACCATTTGTATATCATTTACTCACCCCGTGTTACGTTGAACTCATGAAGAAAACGTACTGTTTTTTTCACATGCCTTCACGGTGATTGAAAGATCCAAAAACTGAGAAAATATATTCTTGATGAATTGGAGTCATAGGGGTCCACGTTTAATGACAGCAAAACTATATCAAAACATTCATCACACAGCTCTTGCAGTATAATCCAAATCTTTATTTATCCAGTCGTATGCTCAGTACTTTCCAAACGGACGCCCTTTTTGACGGTGAACTGAACGGAAAGTGAAAATGTTTATGCTCTCTTCAAAGCCAGACTCCATTGACAAAAACAGTAAATTCAATTTGCTGAACACAAGAGCTGCTGGTCTATCCCTGCCTTGATCATTTGGTTTGTTCATGTCATTACGTGACTTTCGTGCGTAAAAAGTTTAGTTCAGATTCACCAAAGTCACACAATAACACAGACAAACTAACTAATGGAGGCAGTGGTAGACCAGCAGCTCCTGTGTTCAGTGAGGTAAAATTACTGTTTTTGTCAATGGAGTCTGGCTTTGAAGAGAGGATGGATGAGCTTTACTTTCAGCTCAGTTCCCTGTCGGAAAAGGCTGTCTGTTTGGGAAGTACTGAGCATATAAATGAGGCTAGGATCATAAGTTTATAACAGATGTTTTGATATAGTTTCACTGTTGTTAAATGGCAATTGACCCTTCACTAAGGCCTGCCCCTTTGTGATGGTCCAACAAGCTGTCGCAGTAAGCATGGAGCCCACACTGTGACTAACACAAATACACAAATGGTCATTTGGGGGGTGAAGTTTTCCTTCAAATGGAAATCATGAGCTGATTATCTTTGTGATTGTGCTTCAGATTAAAGTGCCCCCGTTTGTTTCACCGTCATGATTCTGTTCGTCTGCTGCGAGGCTTATTCTTGTTTTAATGTTGTTATTTTTTCATTTATTCTGCTTTAGTCGTAGAATAATTTGTTGCGTAAAGCTATATTTTGTAAAACTTTTTAATTTGTCAAAGAAAGGCGCTTTTTGTTTTTTGTTTTTTTTGGGCAAATTACAATCGTTCTAGATTTGTCTGCAAACTTTTGGTTGTACATTCTTCTTTTCGATCTGCCATCTATTTAACCGCTGAATTGTGGCGATACGTGTGTGCATATATCTGTAGATGTCTCTATATTTTTGTGATGTGATACAGTGGAAGCTGTGTGTGGCTGTACTCAAAACACGGTGCTTGAAAAGCCTTACAACATGAAAGCTGCTGGTTACAGAGAAAACACTTCATAAAAGCACACTGTCCCGTTCAGACTGTAGGATACGTTTTAGGGTTGGATGTTGCTGCGTTATGTGGATGCATCTTTATTGTTTTCCCTCAGTGGCTTCCTGTAGACTTCATTCTGTCAAGATTGGAATAAACAAACATAAAGGTACACAAACATGGTTTTAAAGGCTGCTCGTCACTTGAGGAAAAGAGACAAGTGAGCCAGAGAAGCCACCGAGGCAAGTTGGATGCATCCTCATCCTGCTTTGCCGTCTGGCATTTTCCTCCCCTTCAGCAGGCTCCATCTGTTACGTGACTGTTCACATGAATGACACGTGAAAATTTAAAGGGCTTCACCCCACCTAAATAATCCCACTTCTCCTGGTTAAAAAAACACATTGCCCTAAATTTGTTTTATTACTTGAAAGTCTCTGTTTATGATTTTTGGAAGATCATTTATGGTAATAAAATGTATGGTGTGCAACACAAAGTGGTTCACTGCTGTTATTCAAGATGTTACCAAAGCCATTCTCTGTCCCATTACCTAACTTCAATGTCACTTCAACACAGACTATGTAATACATACAGTCACTGCTTCAACACAGTGGTAGTGGAGGGACCCCTAGTGGCGGAGACAGAGAATAACATTACATAACAGGTTTGATATTATAAAAGTCTGTTTTTGATAACAGTGAAGCTGGAGTTAAAGTTGTGACATAGTACACACAAGAAATTAAACATTTCCATCCTGTTTGTGTTTAAGAAACTATAAGTTAATACACTGAACACCAGAGGATGTATTTACCTGTAGTTGCCTCTAGGTGTTGGTACCAGGGGGTACAGTCAGTGCCCGTGACGTCACATCAGCTGTGTGAAGCTGGCAGAGAAAAAAGCTGCCGCAAGAGGGAGGATTTCCCCTTCAAAATAAAACCTCTAGGGTAAAAAAACGGCAGCAATCACAGCAGAAATATCAGATTGAATAAGAGGCTGAAAAGTGACACTCTCTGAGTTTGTCCTTATCCATAGTAAGGGTCCAGGACAGAGGTTGCTGCATACTGTATAAATTGTAAAGCCCCCATGAGGCAAATTTGTGATATTAGGCTATATAAATAAATTTGACTTGACTATAAAAAAAGCTGATAGCCTTATTTTTTGATGACAGTTTGACATGTTTCAGCAGCACAGATGTAAACAGGCCTTTTCCACAGCAGACATTTATTCTGACTCATCACTGCAGGAAAAGCTCAGGTGTAAATAATGTCATTAATCATGGCTGAATTCCACTCAGCTGCTTTGATTTCAGGGCTCTGAAACTGTGCATACTGGAACTCTCTAATGCCACTCTCACCAGGACACTTGAATACAACAGAGCCATAGGTAACATTATTAGTAACTAATGATTTTCCTATACTAATAAGATGCTAGATATATGCTGTCAAAAAGGCTTGTACTGCTGCAAAGATGAATGAGGGATAGTGGTTTACAAGAAGCAAGTAATATTTGCTGTGCTACAGCAAAGGGTTAATGGATGAAATTTACTTTTTTCTTTTATTTTTCCAAAAATAGGCATCACGTGACATTTGGTGTTTTTTTTAATGTATTTTCTATGGGGTTAATTTCTATTCAAATTGTGTACTATTTTGTTTTTTGATTTTAGGTTTTACTTCTTTGCAAATGAGCTCAACCCAAATTTCTTTTTCATTTATATATTGTTGGATGCCAATGGATGGATTACTGAACGGGCCTACTGGGGCCCCCCATATCCTTCAACTGCAAAATGTCACTCTGATTAGCATGTACTGACCAGGAAGAGGTTCAAAATGACCACAAAGAGTTGCAAAATGACTACAGAGAGATGCAAAACTGCTTCAAAGAGACAAAAAGAGATTCACACTGATGACAATAAGGGGCAAAATAACAAGAAGACACAAAGCTACTGCTAAGAGACTTAACGTGGTTTAACAAACACACAAAGCAACTACAAAGAGACTCAAATGACTGCAAACAGACACAAAATGACAACTAAGAGACACAACCGCCCACAAAAAGATGCATAAGGACTACAAATAGATGCAAAATGACCATAAAGAAACACAAATGGATAACAAATAGACACAAAGCAGCTACTAAGAGACTTAACTGACTGCAAAGAGACACAAAGCAACTACAAAGAGACACAAAAAAGCTACAAAGTGATGCAAAAGAACTATGTCATGCAAAATGGCCATGAAGAAGCACAAATTGACTTAAAAAAAAAAGACACAAAGCAGCTACTAAGAGACTCAAATGACAAATAAAACTACAAAAAGATGGTTAAGGGCTAGAAGGAGATGCAAGACAGCAAAAAAGAGACTCAACATGACGATGAGATGATGCAAAGGAACTACAAAGAGACATAAAATTACCATAAAGAAATGCAAAATGACTAAAAAAAACAGTATGTGTGTCCCACTCCTGTGTAGGAGAGGCGGTGGGGACGTCTGCATGTCTGTGCCCTGGGGCCCAATGTCTCATAATCCACCATGTTGTACTGGTAGTAGCAGTGGCTCTGTAGACCTAAAATCAGTACAATTGTACCAGTAGTAGGCCACGAAGGGCCCAGGGCCCTTATTATAATATCTGTAACATATTAGTGTGCACACAGACATATGGCAGGCCTCCTTAGTTGCTTTTCCTGAGGTTTCTAACTTTGTCTCCCATGCACATTTATTTTTGGGAGGAGGATTTCCTTTATTAATGTGAGGGTCTGAGGACAGAGGGATGTGGTATGAATCAGAATCAGAATCAGAAATAATTAATTGATCCTTGAGGAGAAATTGTGATGTGTTACAGTAGAGAAAGAAGTAAGGATAAGAGTATGAAATAGAACGTATGTAAATATAAAGTAATAGAATCAGAATAAATAGAAATAAAATGTGACTCATGTTGGGGTTTCAAATAAAATTTGAATTGAATTGGACCTATATTAACAATCAAAATAGCCCACTGTCCATTTTTTTTGCTTTTACACTGGTGTTGAGCATCCCTCCAAGAACGTTGCGACACTAAATCAGCTTTTATTTTGAAAGGCCCCACCGGAAGCGCCGCTGTTCCCGTGTGTGACTTGACCGCGAGAGCAGGGAGGCTACAGCCAGCGAGCTCCGAGCGGGCTGCGGAGGATGTCGACCCCGCAGCGGGGACCAGCTCCGGGCGGGATGCTTGTGTCCAGCCGGCTGCTCCTCGCCCCGTCGCCCCGCGCCTGCAGCCGCGTGCACCCATGATGACGCCCCCGCTGATGAAGCCCCGAGCTGCCCGAGTGAGGCGGAGAGTGGCCGGAGACAGAGAGCATGTACTGGCGCGTCGGGTTCGCCTGGACGCGGTCGTGTGTGGTTGATCTTGGCCAGAACCAGAGCTTCTCCTCCGGCCTGCTGGGCCCCGATGAGCAGCTCTCGTTTTATGGGTGCATCATCGCCTACCCTCTGCAGGACTACGGCGGGATCATGTCAGCGCTGGGCTCGGACTCGTGGTGGCGGAAGACGCTGTATCTGACCGGAGGAGCTCTGCTGGCTGCTGCTGCTTATCTGCTGCACGAACTGCTGGCCATCAGGTACCAAAGCGCAGAGGATGCACCTTCACAAACCTCATATTTCCGCTGCACACCTCCTCCTGCTCTGCTGTATTTTCTCCTGGGTTTGAGATTACTTAATCCTGACAGGCTGGGCGGGGTGAGAGCGGAGGAGAAGGAATCGTGAGTGGGTGTATTGTGATGTAACTGAACCCTCCACCACCTCCAGCCCCCCTCCTCCTCACAAACACACATCATCTCCATCTTTATTGGCTTATTATTGTGCATTAACAGCACATGCATGTCAGGGGTCATGCCTCACATCTCTGGCTGCATCATCCAAAACAATCTGGATTAAAAACAAACAAACAATAAACACAATTCCTCATTTCTGTTGTTTATCAGGAGCATTCCTTCTCATATAATGTGACATTACAGGCTCTGACAGCAGGTCACTTTGACTCATCTCAAGGACAAAGCGACATGATGTATAGGTTCATGTTGTGTTTGCTTCATTGTGATCCCCCCTCTGTTCCTCTCACACACACACACACACACACACACACACACACACACACACGTTCCGGTGTTTGGTTTCAGACTGAAGCACTGCAGCTATATGGCAAAACACGCTCTGATGTAAACAGCTCCAACACACTAGGTTATGTATTTACGTTGTGCAGTTACATATTCATCTGCCCGCAGCTTCCCTTTCCACAAGCTGTTGTTTCTGTCCAGTCTGACGTTAAATACCACCCCATAATATACAGTAGACACCGTGCTGTCATTGGGTTAGTGCACCAAAACCTGCAGGCAGTTCAGCACCACTCTGACACAAACAGCTCCTCCACTCTGAGGCCTGTTTTTCTACGTCTCAGCACTTCACACGGGGGACAGCTCCCTTTCATTCTGCTGTACTGTGCACACGTGAATGTGTCGCCGTCTCCTGGACAGGCCTCGTCCATGAACTGTGTCCATGTGAGTGCGCCGTGATCTTTAACACGGGTGTGATTCATTATTTTGACATTGCAGTTTGCCTTTGCTGGCAGTAAAAATGGCCCCCGGGGGCTGACGGTCACTCAGGGGCCGGTTAAAGGACCTTGGATGCAGATCAGTGATTTATGCAGGCATGATAGGACACACACACACACACACACACACACACACTACATCCTACTACATGTAAGTTAGCTTAGCATAAAGACTGGGAACAGAGGGAAGCAGTTAGCCCAGCTCTGTCGTCACTGTGAGGTTGCCAAGAAACAAGAGAGGCTCCAGGAGGTGACTGCTCCCAGCTAATAAATTATCTGACACATAACCCTCGTAAAACCAAAATTAGAGAATATATAGGCTGTCTGGGACGGGGAAGATATGTGCTGCGTTATCTCTGTGACCAAAGTGTGTGCACTCAACGTCACATTCTGTATTGTCATTCTTACACTTCAAGTTTTTGAGATATACCGTGTTAATCAGTGAGCTTTACAGCTGCTGGTAGATGCACGATATTAGATTTGTTGCCGATATCCAATATGCTGATATGTAACAGCTCATTTGACCATACTGGTAATGATATATCAGCTTTTTTCCATATCTAAATCTAGTGATCATCAAGTCTCTTCTGTAGTGGAATTAACATCATAAAAGCATGTTGGCCGATACCGATGACATGCCGATATTATCGTGCATCCCCAAGGTTAGCTGTTTCCAGTCTCAATGCTAAGCTAAGCTAACTGGCTGCTAGCTTTAAGCCTCATATTTAGCTAACAGACAGATGCGAGAGTGATACCAGTCTTCTCAGCTGCTGTAAGTGAATAACTGTACATCCCAGAATTCCAGAATGTTTAAGTATTTCTTAAAGTCCAGTACAACCAGTGCAACTGGAGTAATACTTTGTGTTAGTTAGAGGCGATTTGATTCAACAAAAACAAAAACACACATTTAAAAAAAAATGATAAGCATCCCCCAACAGCTTAAAGGAGCTATATGTAAGAAATCTAAAGCAAATAGTCGTAAAATCCTCCTAATATGTCACAGAGACTAAGGAATAATGTTCATATAACATACTGATCTCACCGACAACAATAGTACAGCCAGAATATTCGCATTTAAAAAATTTTTTTGCAGTCTGCAAATCATGTTTATGTTTTGAATTTGTGTTTTGGCCTGTTGCGCCACCCACCGCCGTCTACCAGTCACACAGTCAGTAGAGTCTCAGCATCAGTTACAGTCAGCGTTGCCAGGTGTACGATAATTATCGTATTTGTACGATAATTTGGCCCTCTGTACGATGTACGATCAATGATCCCAAAAAAAGGCCAAATGTACGATAATCTGACCATTTCATGAATGTGTGGTTGTAATCAGTATGCCAGAGTTTTTTTGTGAGCCCTGAAGGCATCATGTGACATGTGACATGTTTCCAGCCAATTGCACTTTGCTTAGCGTGAGATACGGGTGACGTTTGTCTCTGAACAATGAGCACGATTGGCTGAATGGTCAGCTGTACCCGCCCCACGAGGCGCTAGGACCCATCAGGAAGTCGAGCGAAATGAGATTCAAAACAGAAGAAGAGGAGGAAAAACAGAAGCAAGGAAAATGGAAAATAAAGTAAACACTAGAGTGACTATATTTAAGCAATATCACACGAGAGGGAGTGATGTTGTACTGTATATCGTCACGGCTGTGATTCGGTCATACGCACGAGGCCGCAGACGATCGTTTCGGCGTCTGGTCTATTTTCTGCGCGAGCCGCGAGCAAATGTGTCAAGCCGGGTGACGGAGACAACAGCTGGGAGCAGAACCGCTTGTCGACCAGCGTGGTGAAATGCGCGTCTGATGCCAACGGCCACTTGCAAAGAGGACAGCTGCGGTGGTGTTTTTTTTCTCCACAATCGAATATCAATTTTCACATTCGAAGGTCCATTTTTATTTCAAATTCGAATTTAAATTCTAATTTAGAATATTCGTTGACAGCCCTAACCTCGAATCTGTAGGGGAGGGGGGGTGGACATGACTCGCGGCAGTATTTTGAATTTGAGTGCAGTAACCATTTTGGCCACATTCTTACATACAGCGCCTTTAACAAAACTTATTAATTACTCTTCATGGCCTGGCTCCAGATTACATTCAGACCTGTTAGTCCCTTTTGAACCTCAGCGTAGTTTGAGATTCTTGGGCAGAGGTCTTCTGCTTGTTCCAGAGTCCAGACTGAAGACCAAAGGGGGCAGAGCTTTTGCCAGCAGGGCCCCGAGGCTCTGGAATGACCTGCCCGAACATAGTTTCATCTAAACATGTACTTCTATCAGAAAGCATATCCTGGCTTTATCTGAGCTGATTTTATTGCTATTTTATTGATGTTATTTCTCATTTATTATCTTGATTGTTAGCTTTAGCCTTCCTCATTTTATCTCTTACTAGATGACATGTTATTTGTTCTTTTTTTTTTTTAAAGATATTTTTAGGGGCATGTTGCCTTTAATCGATAGGACAGACAAATGTGAAAGGGGGGAGAGAGAGAGAGAGAGGGATTGACATGCAGCAAAGGGCCACAGCCTGGAGTCGAACCCGAGCCGCTGCGGCAACAGCCTCGTACATGGGGCGCCTGCTCTACCACTAAGCCACCGACGCCCCCTATTTTCCTTGTGTTTTAATCGTGTTTTGTTTTATTGAACAGCACTTTGTAGCTGTGTTTTGAAAGGTGCTATATAAACAAAGTTTATTATTATTATTATATAAAAAGGCAAATAAAAAGATGAATAATGCAGTGAGGAAGGACTAAATGCAGCAAACTCAAATAATACAAGACTGCATGTCCCATCACACTGTACTGTTGCTAACTTCTGGACCACTGAAATATGGCATTGGAGTTCCCAATGTAATGTAGAGGCAGAGAGAAAAAAGGAGTTCAAGGCAAAAATCTTCTAGTGTCTGCTTTGGCTCCAAATTTTAGTATTTGCTGGTTGCCCCGTAATAATAAACTGAATATGTTTGGGGATTTTGGGATTTGGTTGTACAAAACAAGACATCTTAGATGTGATCTTGGACTCTGGGAAACTATGATGGACTTTTTTTTTTCCTCACTATTTTTGTGCCATTTCTTCCCTCCAAACAATTCATCTTGAAAATAATTGCAATATTATTCAATACTGAAAAGAATAGTTACCTGAAACCGTAGCCACTGCCTCTTGAGAGGTAACCTGAAACCTAACGCTGAAATTTAATTTCCAGTGTTGTGGGGATCTGCTTTTTGTCTCCTAATGGAAGTCAAATCCTCTCAAAGCTACAGTTGGTAACTTTTATGAAAATAACTTTTGTCATGTTTGTTCAAACTGTCACTACATCCACAGTGTATTACATGAGATAGATATTCTGTGAATAAATATCATGTTCCTTCTTTTATTGCCTCTAATGGCATTTGTTAGAATCTATCGCGGCTGAAGGAAACAACCAATCAGAGCCAAGGAGTCTCTCTGTCAATCACTGCTTGTGAACTGAAATTAAACTGTCACACTAGGCAGCGCTGATCAAATATGAATCAAAATTCTGTTTCTGCATTGCCTATTTCTCACCTCAAATGTGTTCAGAAACATATTTTAGTGTGCTGTTCAGCTGTAACATGAGAATGTTTGTGACACAGCTGCCATGTTGGAATCGAGGTGAGCCATATGGCACAAAATATTATCACAATAATTTCCCCATATAGTTCGATATCGATATTTATAACGATATGTAATTTGATGTTGCTGCGAGTTTGAAAAGTATCCTAAAATGCCTGACATCTGAAGACACCAAATAATTTTCCAGCTTCTCACGGCGCTTGTCGTAAAGCTTGGCAGAGCAGTTTGAGAAAAACATTTCCTGCCTGGGAGCTCGCACCTGCAGTCTGTCTCTTTAATTAATTTCTTGAACCTGTCTTTCTCCACGGTGCTCGTGGGCATCATGTCTCTGGCTAGAAACTGTGACACTTCCTCCCTGTCTTTTCGTTTTGTCCATGCTACTTTAAATTCCTTCTCACCTCAAACTTTACATTGAAAAATGGGCGTGTACAATGACGTGTATCTTAAACACTGCAGATTGACTGACAGCTGTCTGCATGACACGCAGTTTGAATCTATCTAGGTCTGTCCATATCGAGTAAAAGTGACTATAATGTATCATCTGTCCTCCACACAGAAAGGAGGAAGAGCTGGACTCTAAAGATGCCATCATACTCCACCAGTTCTCCAGGCCCAAAACTGGCATCCCATCCCTGTCCCCTTTCTGCCTTAAGATGGAGACCTACCTCCGTATGGTTGATCTGCCCTATAAGGTACAGCTGTCCTGCTTTTATTCTCCTCAGGTGACCCCCTCACATGGCGTGTTTACGACCGAGTGTGAGGATGTGTTAATCCCCATTTCTTCTTCGACTGCTCTAATTACTTTTACTGTGATTAATTATTGTTCAGCTCTGAGTCTCTGCTGCTGCCGTCACTCAGTTTTCCTGCAAGGGATAATTAAAATTTCACTTAAATGTTTTGTCTTGATCCAATTTAATTCTCCAAATACCAATCACCAGCCACTCTCTCGATTCTGTGCTTTTAAAGTCTTCTTCTTTATCGTGGTTTTCCTCCGTCTCTCCACTCCTCTCCTGAATCCCTTCTGTCTCGCAGAACTACTTTGATGGGAAGCTTTCGCCACAGGGAAAGATGCCGTGGATTGAATACAACCAGGAGCAGGTGTGTGGCACTGAATTCATCATCGACTTCCTGGAGGAGAGGCTGGGCGCGAGCCTCAACAAGAGCCTGACGCCGCAGGAGAAGGCGGTGTCTCGCGCCATCACCAAAATGGTGGAGGAGCATTTCTACTGGTGAGGGAGCAGTGAAGTCCAGACAGCAGTTTTCTATTGTCTTAGACGTAGTGCAGTTTAGTGATGAGGAGCATGAGGTAAAATATTAACTCTGAGATGTGTGTGTTTATGTGTGTGTACAAATGCACCTGTGTGTGTGTGTGTGTGTGTGTGTGTTTGTGTTGCAGGACCATAGCTTACTGTCAGTGGGTGGACAACCTGGAGGAGACCCAGAAGATGTTGTCAGTGAGCGGGCCACTGAGTGATCTGCTCAAGTGGATCCTGAGTCACCTGACCGGCGGGATTGTCAAGAGGGAGATGTACGGGCACGGGATTGGACGGTTCTCTGAGGAGGAAGTTTACGCCCTGATGGAGAAGGACATGCGCACCCTGGCAACTCTGCTAGGTGAGAAATATGGGAATAATAATAATAATGATGCTCATCTTTTGGAAGATAGTATAGTATAGTATAGTATAGTATATTTGGGGGTTATAGTGATCATGTGGGGGATGTTTTTTGCAGAGAAGAATATGAGTCAACCCAAGGAATACTTCACCCCCATCCCATGTTCATTTGTTTACTCACTCTGTATTCCGTTGAATTCCTGAAGACAACAATTTTTCTCGCATGCCTCAGATGATACAAAAATGGAGAAAATGATTGATGAATTGAAGTCATAGGGGTCTGCCTTTAACAACAGCGAAACTATATGAAAACATCTGTTCACAAACTCTCACACAACTCGTGCAGTATAATCCAAGATCCATGGTTGGACAGATCAGTTGAAATAAAGAAACACAACCCACCTGCAATAATAATAATAATAATAGTAACAAAAATAAATGATCTGTAGAGAAAACTGACCCGTCCTGGAGTTGAATATTGGTGCCCTGGTACTGCCCTACCGCCGGCAGACAGGGGGGACACTCCCCCTGACTTTATTATTATTATTAATTATTATTTAATTATTGGTATTAGTGGTAACTGGGTAAAGATAGGATAAGTTTTAATATACTTCCTTCCCCTTTTGTTATTATTATTATTATTATTATTATTTTTGTATTTATTTTTATCAGTATTTTTTCTTTATTAATATTTCTTGTTGATATATTATTATTATTTTATTAGTTTTCTTTTTTAAAAAATTTGTTTTGTTAATATTTTTTCTTATTTATTATTATCATTTTTAATGATTTTTTTTAGTATTTTTTTTCTTATTTTTTAAAATTTGTTTTTGTTGGTATTTATTTTATTTATTATTATCATTTTTTTATGATTTTGTTAATGTTTTTTTCTTATTTTTTTTAAATTTGTTTTTGTTAATATTTTTTTTATTATTTATTGTTATTTTTAGTTTTTGTCTTTTAAATTTTTTTGTTATTTTTTCCTTTCTAAATTTTATTTTATTTTATTTGTTATTATTATATTTTGTTTTCTCCTCTTCTCTCTTCCTTTCACCTGTCAAACCTGTAGAGTAAAGACACATAAACACACACGACAGCCAACACAACCATGTCCCTTTATCCCCTGACAACAATTGATTTACCAGCCTGTATTCACTTTTGTATTCACTGCTTTGTTAGAGTTTTGTATTGTCTTGCAATTTAAAAAAAAGAAAGTGTTTTTGGATTTTCCGTTCTCCATGGAGGCATGCAAGAAAAACAAAGTTTTCTTTAGGAACTCAAGGTCACACAGGGTGAGTAACTGATATACTGTTGATCATTTGCGGGTGAAGTGTTCTTTCAAATATGGCCATGTGAAAAACCTTCAGTGCAGCAAAATTAGTTTTTCTTGTGCATTTATGAGTGCAGTCTGTATTAAAACAGAGAGAGTGTGACAATCTGTGTCGCCTGTTTGTTCACATAGTTTACCCTGGATGCAGATCAACAGCTTATTTGGCAAAATAAAATCACTGCAATGGCTTTTCAATGTGTGTCAGGAGGACTGTAACCAGTGACATCATGTTTATACTCGTCATATAAAAGCACAATACTGACCTCCTGTGGTGAAAGGTTGGCACTGCAGTCTGGAATCGATACATAACCTCTGGCAGTTTGTGGTTGGAGATGTAAGAGAGGCAGATCTGAGAGGCTGTAGCAGAGCTGTGGTGGGAAGAGTCGTTACTTTACAAACAGTGCTCAGTGAGGTTAAAGATTCATGACCCTGAATGCATCAATCGATCTCTCATCTCATTTCCTCTCGTGTATATTTTCTGTACAAATGTATGCATGAACAGAGCCCGGCTGCTGCTTCCCCCTGTTTCCAGTATTAACTTATTTTACATGTCTTTTTCCTGTGTTGCGTCTCAGGTGATAAGAAGTATCTGATGGGCTCTAAGCTTTCGACAGTAGACGCTGCAGTGTTCAGTCACCTGGCCCCGGCTATGTGGACGCTACCAGGAACACGGCCGGAGCAGCTGATCAAAGGTGAGTTCAGCCATTCACACACATTGGAAAGGAACATGCTGTGTTTTCTCACATATCCAAAGTTAAGTTTAACGATAAGGACAGTTTGAGATATCCACCACTACGACCTCTGTATCCATTTTGAGAGGATGTACTGTAACATCCACATGAAAACATCAAGTTAAATTGCAGCTTCTTAATCAGTGACATTTTCTCTCAGCCTGGAAAATGTTGTGTATTAGAAATGTTTTTTCTTGCATGACACCTTCAGACCACCTCACCCACTCGTCTGTCTGTCCTCCTCCTCTAGGTGAGCTCATCAACCTGGCCATGTACTGCGAGCGCATCCGCCGGCGTTTCTGGCCCGAGTGGTTCGTGGACCTGGAGGACTTCTGCTACAGCGACACCACAGAGAGCAGTGACGCGCCCTCCAAACTCCCCGACCTGGGCCTCTTCTCCTGCACGGACACTTTCCACGACGACACACACACGTACACCTCCCAGGCTCACACACCAAAGGACCCCATGTCGCCCGACAGCGACCCTACAGGCCACTCGCTGTATGACTCTGACATGGACACGGAGTGCTCTGAAATCGACCAGCCCAAGTGTTGACGAAACGTACATGTGTAGTACACGCCACACATACGCACACCACAGGAGGGAGCTGCGTCCCGCCTGCACACATGCCCCCTACCTCTCTGATCAGAACATACCTGGGGAGTATTGTTAGTGTCTCCTGTGTCAGTGGAGATGTTGAGGAGGTCTCACGTGCATACTGTATTGGAGGACCTACTGCAGCAGAGGGAGTGAGACAGATAGAAATGTAAAGTTTCAGTGGAGGGAGAGAGAACAGAGAAGAAGCAGTACAAGATTAGAAAAACTCCAGGAGTAAATGACGCCACTGCTGAGAAACTCCTCCACGTGGTCACCTGCAGTCACCGCCTGTTGTCACATCGCCGATTCTACGGCAACGACATGTGCTTGACCCCCAATGTCCCTCGTAGCAACTTGCACCGCCCAGCCTCGTGTGTTTTAACTAATTGAACCCTTAACGCCTTGTGTTGACATGACATCGTAGGGACCTGTCCAGGGATTCATGATTCATGTGAATGAACTCAGTGTAAATATATAAATGGATCAGATTTATTAGATTGATTATATATGAGTATAAATAGTATAGATAGCCTGCAGATATAGAATCACCCCCTCTGTCATATGGTGTAAATACTGTAGGTGTTTCTCCTTCAGACTGTCTTGTAGTAGTCTCCATGAACGCCCACCCTGCTGGTCTAGGATCAGTACGAGGACCTCCTGTGTTTGTCTCCGCAGCTGGGATGTTACAGTAATGCCTGCTGCCCATGTTTAAGTAGTGCAGTCAAAGTTCATGGAAGATAATGGGTAGTAAACTGCAATCTGCCGTAAGCACTTATTGTTATTAAGACAATTGTTTTGCCAAAAAAAATTAATGATAACAATAATTTGTCCCTGCATTACAAGTGTAATGTGGCAACATACATTGTCAGAGCTGGCGAATAGGCTGATACAGAGTACCGTTCTGATACCATCCATCCATTTTCATCCGCTTGTCCAAGGCCGGGTCGGGGGGCAGCAGGCTGAGCAAAATACTCCACACGTCCCTCTTCCCAGCGACGCTTTCCAGCTCCTCCTGAGGGACCCCAAGACGTTCCCAGGCCAGTTGAGATGTAATCCCTCCAGCGTGTTCTGGGAACGTCTTAGATGCCCCAACCACCTCAACTGGCCCCTTTCAACTCAAAGGAGTAGCGGCTCTACTCCGAACTCCCCTCCACATGTCCGAGCACCTTACCCTATCTCTAAGGCTGAACCCAGACACCCTTCGGAGGAAACTCATTTTGGCCACTTGTATCTGCGAGCTTTGCCTTCTGGCTCAGCTCCCTCTCAACCACGACGGTCCGGTGCAGAAGCCGCACCGACCTGCCGATCCATCTCACGCTCCATCCTACCGTCACTCATGAATAAGACCCCGAGATACTTGAACTCCCTCACATGAGGCAGTAACTCTCTCCCAATTCGACGTAGATTTTGCCAAATTTCTGACATTTTGCCAACGGCTAACGAAACACTATTTATCCGGAAAGCAATTCTTCTTCACTGCTCTAAAAAAGTAGATGCCAGTGGATGCACTGCAGAACTGCGAAACTACTTTAAGACTTTCATTAAATTACATGCTATCGAATCGGTGCTTAGACTTGAATACTCGTGGATACTTGATCCAGCATTTTAGGTGGTATCGGAAACATTTCAGATACTGATATTGGTACTAGAACAACTTTAGTTTAGATCGTCATTGAGGACAGTAGCTTAAGGTCAAATAGACATTCATGCATCTGAGCATTGAGAGCGAGTCAAACAATCATGTAGAAATAGATGACATAGATATATAGTCTGAATGAAAGTGCATGGCTGGTACGTGCCAATGAAACGCTCCCTTTACACTCCACGTAGATGATATTTACATTTCTTTAGCTGGCTTATTTATTCTGTTTTGATGATGCAATTTGTTTGTCGGTGCCTCTCGATGAATCAGCCACACAAAGAAGTAGCCATCCTGAAAAATAAGTTTTTGTTTACACAGACGCTGTGTGATTTAAATTGAGGGATTGATGTACAGCAATAACAGAGCAGATGCAGGTTAATATGCTGGGCTGTGTGGTGTTCGGGGTGTGTGACGGTTTCATGTGTGTTTGTCACTCAGCAAATGCACATTCAAACTTACTGTGTGTGAAGGCAACAGATATAGATGCAAACAAAGGCGTGTACAGTTACCGTATGTTTGCTTCTGTCCATGTTGCACATGCATGAGTCACCTTCTGTGTGTGATGACGGCACACGGACTCACAGCCGAGCCTTTCCTTCCCAACACACACACAAACTGTCATGGTTCAGTTCAGTCAGGTGGTAGAAGTTACTTTGCAAGCGAATCCATTGGAATGAATAGAAATCATTGCGAATCGTAATGTGACCAGGCCTTAATGCAGATATACACTGTTTGCACTGGCATAATTTGAATCAAGAAAGTGCAGCAATGTAATGCCAAAAATATATTTAACTTGGAAACTGTCCCCATGACATCATTTGTCCTCTAGAGGGCACTGACAAGTTTATTTCTTACTGCAACATGTCACATGCTCACTCAGTACACGTCTTTTAAAACTAAACCAAGAACTTAGAATCAATATCTTGACCAGTATTTTTTAAACACATACATTTTAAGGAAGTCATAATGGCCAAGATATTATTCATAGATTGTTTTAAACTCTAAAATTCAGCACCAGTCAGGCACTGTGTGAGCAAAAATGAAATTTATAATGTGTTAAAAATACATAGCATTAAAATGTAGCAGTATATTGTGAAAAAGTAATTAACAGTATGACATGATAAATCTGACACTTAGAAAAGGGTTGGGTTTTAAGGGTTGTAAAGATGCAGTTGTGACTCTGATGTCATTTGTTTAAAGGTATACTACGCAGGATTGTCGGTTACTGAAAGTCAAAGTGAAAGCCAACCACAGATTCACTCAGCTTGGCACGTAGCCTCGCTGTATTTGTGTTTTTTCAGTGCCATGTCAACAGTTTTCGTAGCTTCTTCTTGTGTGCAACCATGGGGGGATTATGAGACAATGGGCCCCTGGGTACAGATATGCAAACGGCCCCACCACCTCTCTTACATACGGGCAAGACACAAACTTTGTGGCGGTTTTGCCTCTTTTTTTGTTGTTTTGCAAATGGAAAATACAGGCAGAGAGTTGAGTGTCTGCAGATAAATACACCACCACACACTGAGAGTGGGTCGTAAGTGACGATTGAAAGGGATTAAGGTGCATCTGTATTGGTTTATACATTGGTTTTTAAGGGAAAATCCTGCGTAGTATACCTTTAAGTAAGACCATGACGTTGATGGGTACCATAGCATGATGCTTAAAAATCTGTGCAGCTCCTTTGCTGTAAGGCATTCTGGGTTCTCTAGTTGACAAAATAACGTCAACAGCATCAATACTTTGGGCTATAAATGAAAGCCTTTAGTAAGGAGATGATAAAGGCTTTGCGTGTGCGTGCTGCAGATTAATTTCCAAACAATAATATTGCCTGAAACTGAAAAAACGAACTTTGATTCTGTGTCTTAAAACCCGTCGCCTGCATGTTCTTGCCTTCTCTCAACATTAGTCAGACTGTTTACTTTATATCAGTGCCAGCATACGACTTATGTTTTTATATATGTCATGTTAATTTATTATTTATTAATCTCATGTTAATATTTATTGATTTCAATGGTGGATGTGCTTGAATTTAAGAGACACTTTTAATCGTTTTTGCACTTATCTTCTTCTGTTTACACGTGTTTCTCTTCTGTGGCTGAGAGTCAATCAAGTGTATTGATCTGTGTGTTTGTGCAATACTGTAGATTCTCTGACGTCCACTGAAACAGCTGCATATCTTCATGTTGCCAGTCATTGCCGTAGTTGCATGTGTGTCCATGATTTTGAGATGTCATGTGCTAAGTGTTATATTCATAGCATCATATTGAAACCATTGTGTTCAGATGTTACAGTCCCTCATGTGCTGCAAAAAGAAACCCCTGAGGAGGTTTTACCCTGCAGAGCTTCACGTCCAGTCGAAACCATAACAACGAAATATTGAGGTAAAAAACCGAACTCGTTGCTCTAGCTCAGATCAGCATGGTGAGGTCATCCGTCCTGCTGATCGGCTGATGATCGGTGTCCCTCTGTAAGCTCACCCAGCGCAGGAGAACTGCAACTTCCAGATCAGTCTGTGGGTGACTTCATTTGTCTCAGTGTTCCTCGGCAGTTAGAGGTCAGAGGTCGGGGTTCGGCCCCGCAGTGTGTGTGTCGCTCTCCATCGAGATTTCTGCTTGTAGACTTTAGAAGCCATATTGTCTCTGTGGTGTTGTGTGAGCTGAAACACTTGTGGTATCTCATCAAACTGTAAATAAGTGAGCCGGGGGGAAAACATCAAATTAATGTGGTCTAAAAGAAAATCGCTCTGTACTCATTAAAAAGGTTCTTATGAATGTATCATACCTAGAGATAAAAGCTGTATGACAATGGACTCCTTATAATATTTCATTAAATATAGCTGTGGTATTTTCCTCTTGTTTTGTTTCAGTTATTGTGTTGAATTGTGCATGAAAAACCACATTTATATAGTGGAAAAAAAATGCTGTCAGTGGCGCTCCTGAGTGGGGGCCAGGGGGGTCCAAGGCCCTCTTGATACAAACGCTGCCTTCACTCGCCTATATTACTGTCTTTAAGAGACTCTGGCATGCTCAGTTTTTAAGTTAGCAAAGAAAGACTAGACAACCTATGGCCTGGGTCTTCAACAGGAGTTCGGTGACCCCTAGTGAGTCCTCAGAGTTACTGCAGGGGGGTCACCAAATTATTGTTTGGTACATTAATTTACATTTTTATTTTGTTATCAAAAATTAAAATATGTCTGAAAATACACATGAACACAAAGCAAAGCTATATTGGCCTATTTAAAAAAAAAACAAATATTTAATTTACATTATACAACATTGACAATGGGCTAACTGTTATCCATGAATCCTTGTGCAATGATGTTAGCTAGCTAAGGCTAAAGCACTGTTGGGTACCTGTCCATAACAGCGAGGCAAACTGGTTAGCTAACAGTTACATACCATTGAAACATATCGGCCAATTAGGTGTATAATTATTCAAGTGGGACATTTTTGTGAGCCATGATGGTTTGTTTTGTAACTTTTCGAGACTCTGACACACCTGTAAATCTGTGAATCTGCCAATAATTATTATTTTGATAGCTCAGTATTGTATGCACTAAAGGCTATGCTTATTCATGGCATATGTTATTGTAGGCCCAGTTTAATATGCAACTCAATTATATACATTAGACTGCAGTACTACAGTAGACCAGCAGGGGGTCCCTGCTCCGTCTTTCTTTCAGCTAAGGGGCCCTTTATTGGCTTGGAAAACACTGAAGACTCCTGCTCTCAGTTTGGCCCCCAAGGGAAGGCCAGGGGGTCCATGGCCCCTGATGCAATTGCTGCCCCAATTTGCCCCTTCTGGCAAAATAATTGGACGCCCACATCACTGTATTACACAATGTTTTTAAGGAAAGATAGGGTATCTTGTGGAACTAGACAACTGAATCGTCCATTGGTATCAACTATGTTGGCGTAGCTTGTTGGAAAGGGGGCTGTATAACAACTGACATGGCCATTTTCAAATGGGTGCCTTGAACTGTCACCTCAAGATATCTGAATAAAATTGGTTTCTATGGCTGAATCCAAATGTCCACCCTCTGGACTTGAGGACCGAGCCCTCACGGCCTTCAGTTGTATGTACTGTGACGAGTTCACTGTCATCACGTAAAGTCTGCGAGGAGAGACCGATCTTGAGACTGTTTTTACTCATTGCCATGAAAACGTTCGGGCGACGATTACAGTCATTTTAAATACTGTCATATTCTGTCTGCTCATCTGTCCTTGTAGATAACAAGATATAAGTCCCATGTGTAGGGTTGTTTTGTGAGTGAACAAAATGATTTCTGTAAAACATACAGACTGCAGTCATTCAAATATAGTGATGGTTGTAAATATGGACTGGGCTATGACTTAATAAATTGGGTATATCATAATCTTTTAGTTACATCAGAAGATCTTCTTAGTTGTTTTTCGGCCACTTTTCCAGCCTATAAATTTGGCACTGCGCAACCTATAGGGTAGGCTTCAATAATACAACGCATTTTTATTCCCATAGCCTATATTTCTACATATTTCTGTGCCATGATGTTGTTAAATATTATTTCTGGCCTACATGATTCAAGTAGCATTTTAATATTCTACAGAATATTTTTTAGCCAACTACTG